ATGTTGTGTTAGTTCAGGTGATGGGAGGCGAGGAGAGAGAGCGCGATTGTGAGCGGAACCCTCCGTGTTATTTCAGATGTGAGAGAAAAGACGGATATTCGGATTCCTGCCCCGAATAACAGGCTCATTGTGCAGGCGGCCCGGCGGAGAGCCGCGCTCCCCCCCGTAATCCACCCCAAGGAGCAAATCATTAACCCCTTTGATGGGGAGGGGACGGCCGACCATTGTGAAAGTAGAGGGGAGTGACTGCGGCTGGCCGGGGTTAATCGTTCTTGCACTTTGTGTGACACAGCGCCCGCACCGGCTTCAACGCCGCTCGTGGGGTAGGGCGCGGGTCGGGATTTCTGGGCGGTGAGCTGCTGACATTTGTTCAACTGCATCTGCAATGTGTTACTTTTTTTTTTTCCAACTCCAAAAAAAAAAAAATATCAGAAAATTTTTGCTCCGGTCGGCTTTAGCAAAATTTATAGGAGCGCCCATTGAGCCGATCGCACATCATCATGGCGCTTGTGAATGAGCCCCTTTGCCAGTACTGAATGTGTCACCCGTGGTCACAATTGGGCTCTCATGTCATCTTCATCGATCAGCATTTCACCAGACTTGTTTTTTGTTTTTTTTTACTTAGGGCTCATGTGAGGTGGGGGGGGCGGTAAAACCCTGCCGCGCTCCCTTTACCTGCAGAGATAGCAGCCAATGCTGCAGCAGGAATTCTATCCCCTTGGTGGGTGTAGCACCTGCCAAATGCAACCCATTGAGGTGAATGGGGTCACGCCCTCCCTCCTCACCTTCATCAATGAGCCCCCCCAGCTACATCAATGAGCCCCCCCCCAGCTCCATCATTGAGCCTTCCCTCCCCAACTCCATCAATAAGCCCTCCCTCCAGCACCTCCATCATTGAGCCTTCTCTCCCCCCACCTTCATCAGTGAGCCCCCTGAGCTACATCAATGACCCCCCCCAGCTCTATCAATAAGCCCCCCCCCCCCCCAGCTCCATTAATGAGCCCCCCCCCCCAGCTCCATCAATGAGCCCTCCCTCCAACACCTCCATCATTGAGCCTTCCCTCCCCAACTCCATCAACAAGTCTTCACTCCAGCTCCTCCATCATTGAGCCTTCCCTCCCCACCTTCATCAATGAGCCCCCCCCAGCTCCATCAATGAGCCCTCCCTCCAACACCTCCATCATTGAGCCTTCCCTCCTCCATCAATGAGCCTTCACTCCCCCACCTCCATCATTGAGCCTTCTCTCCCCCACCTTTGTCAATGAGCCTTCCCTCCAGTGCGAGTGTCAAGCAGGTGGCGAGGAGTCTATGGAGAACCTCCTCACCGCCTGTCAGGTGCTCTCTATAGAGCAATCCAAATGTGGATCACTCTTCAGAGAGCACCACAAATGTAAACAAGCCCTCAGGGTTCTTTTCACGGGGGCTTTAAGAACAGGCACTTGAGCAGCGCTTTTACTGCCCACTTACAGGCAGACATTGTACTGCTCCAGTGTGTGCACATTGCCGCAGCCACGATGCTTTACATTGCGGTGCTGCAATTTTAATGCGACATTCTGAGTTTGACAAGCGCTGGTCAGACGCTCCCATCTGAATAGGACTGCAACGCAACCGCGAACCAAACGCAAAAAAAAAAAAACAAGATCAGGAGGTGAAGGTACGGCATCTTGAAAGTCTACAAACTTCTTTTCACCATCTTTTTGAAAAGTGATCCCCGCGGATTGCTTTTCAGATAGGTTCACAGCTTGTGTGTGTCGGGAACACTCGCAAAACCACGCACTTTCCTGCCATGCACAAAAACGCGTTGTTCTTCAACAGATGCGTGGTGACGACCTAAAGTCCCCTATGTGATCTCATTCTGTTGGGACGAGTTCTTTTTATGAAGGCATCAGGGGTCTAGGAGGCGTTTAGGGTCAAGGAGTCATCTGGGGTCCAGGAGACATCTATGGGTCCAGGAGACATCTGGGGGTCAAGGAACCATCTAGGGGTCGAGGAGTAATCTGGGGTCAAGGAGCCATCTGGGGTCAAGGAACCATCTAGAAGTCAAGGAGCCTTCAGGAGTCAAGGAGACATCTAGGGGTCAAGGAGACATTTGGGGTCAAGGAACCATCTAGGGGTCAAGGAGTCATCAGGAGCCAAGGAGACATCTAGGGGTCAAGGAGCCGTTTAGTGGTCAAGGAGCCTTTTAGCGGTCAAGGAGTCATCTGGGGTCAAGGAATCATCTGGGGTCAAGGAACCATCTAGGGGTCAAGGAGATATCAAGGGATCAAGGAGACATCTAGGGGTCAAGGAGACATCTAGGGGTCAAGGAGACATCTGAGGTCAAGGAGGCATCTGGGGTCAAGGAGTCATCTGGGGTCAAGGAACCATCTAGGGGTCAAGGAGCCTTCAGGAGTCAAGGAGATATCAAGGGGTCGAGTCATCAGGAGCCAAGGAGACATCTAGGGGTCAAGGAGCCGTTGAGCGGTCAAGGAGTCATCTGAGGTCAAGGAGACATCTAGGTGTCAAGGAGACATCTGGGGTCAAGGAGACATCTGGGGTCAAGGAGAAATCTGGGGTCAAGGAGCCGTTTAGCGGTCAAGGAGACATCGGGGGTCAAGGAGACATCAGGAGTCTTGTAGACCCCTGATATCTCACCTGCCCGCCACCAAAGCTTCCATTGGGCTACATTCACACCGGCGATTGAAGTGCATTGTAGCGGCAGGAATCTTTAGAATGCGCCTGTGAGCGTTTCGGTGCAGCGACCGGCCCCCATGTTCACAATAACGACGCGGCCGATCGCCGCTGGGCGCAGTGTGAATGTAGCCGTAGCGTCTTCCCCGGGACACAGGAGCCGGAGAAGGCGACAGCCGAATTGTGATGTGGCGCATCAGTATTTGTTCTAGCTGGGGCAGGGGGGGGCGGGGTTGGTTCCCGCACTGCTGGGGGTCCATAGAAGCGCCAGCCAACAGAACAATTCCCCTGCTGCTTCCACGGTATGACACCTGTCATCGGCAATGAAGGGGTTAAAGGGCATCCAAAGCCAGAGCGCCAATATTTATAAGAGATGGTGGGGGCGGCTCCCAGTTGCACCTCTCCGGCGGATAAAAGGTAGTTGGTCCTTGAAGCTGGCTCCCCAATGCAGAGAACGGGGCAAGCAAGGTCCACTCAGTAGCATCACGCGCGTGCGTCGCCCCCGCTCAGGATGACATCAGTCCTCGGGTGGGGGGAGGAGGGGGGTTATGAGAGGTGTCGCCGCAGCCGCTTGGCTCAGATCAGAGCGCCTTGTTATTAGGTTTTGAACACAAAGGGCGCACTGAGGCCAGAAGAGACGACTACCTGCAGACGTGCGGAGGAGAGGGTGACGTCACACATCGCTGTCTGTCTCCTGCAGCGCGTGTCCTCAGGAGTCACTGCGCGCCGTGTCTTCACAGGGAAGCCAGCATACCTGTGTAGGGAGGGGCCCGTTCAATACAGGCGACTCACAAGGGAGCCTCCGTGTTACTATTTTTTTATTTTTTTTTTGGAACAAATCTGATTTCGGCTGAGATTTGCAGACAAAGTCCCTGATGGGTTAGTGTGGAAGGGCCGAAATTTTCCAATCTCATTTCCTGTTCACTGATCCTATAGAGAGCTGAGGTTTTTCTGGAGCAGCATGTGCAGAGCGATGGGCGGCACCACGTCGTAAACCGAATGTCTGTACGGCTGAAACACACAGAAGAATACATACAAGGAAGCTGCTTTATTTCTGTCCATCCAGACCTGAGATTTACACAGCTCTGCTGTACAGCATGGCCCTCTATCGCAGCACAGGGGACCTGATTTTTTCTCTGCTGCAGTTCAGTAACACTTACGGGTCTTGTCCCCCGCCCCCCCCCCCCCCCCAGCTTGTGATAGGAGAAGCAGCAAACTGATGAGATCATCTCTCTGTCACTCTGCTCTCTCCTTCTATCAGCACGCTTCTTTCTGTAGCACAGCTGATTGGTTCCTTGTGCTGCTTTCCCTTTCCCCAGTCTGAGCTCTGCGGTACAGGGCCTGCCCAGGGCTGACGCCAGGTCACATTCAGTTTCTTAGACCATGTTAAAAAAAAAATATATATAATAATAAATATAATAATAATTAAATTATTTAATAAACGACTTTGCATCCCGAGCAATTTTATTTTTTACTCGGGATAAATCTGTTTTGTGGCTACGTAACTTGCACTTAACTGAACTGGAATGTGGTAAAACGCACCAAAATCGCAACGGGACACACAGGTCCTTATTTAGGGCCGGTTCACACCATAGAAACGCAGTGCAGGTGATCAGATGGGAGATGGATACAAAACAGTAACATTGTTTATAAACATCGATCAGATGGGAGATAGAGATACAAAGTAACATTGTTTATGAACATCGATCAGATGGGAGATGGATACAAAACAGTAACATTGTTTATAAACATTGATCAGATGGGAGATAGAGATACAAAGTAACATTGTTTATGAACATCGATCAGACGGGAGATAGAGATACAAAGTAACATTGTTTTTATAAACATCGATCAGACGGGAGATGGAGAGATACAAAGTAACATTGTTTATAAACATCGATCAGACGGGAGATGGAGAGATACAAAGTAACATTGTTTATAAACATCGATCAGACGGGAGATGGAGATACAAAGTAACATTGTTTATAAACATCGATCAGACAGGAGATAAATACAAAGTAACATTGTTTATAAACATCGTTCAGACGGGAGATAGAGAGATACAAAGTAACATTGTTTATAAACATCGATCAGACAGGAGATAAATACAAAGTAACATTGTTTATAAACATCGATCAGACGGGAGATGGAGATACAAAGTAACATTGTTTATAAACATCGATCAGACGGGAGATAAATACAAAGTAACATTGCTTATAAACATCGATCAGACGGGAGATAGAAAGATACGCTTGGAGTCTCTGAGCTCCTGAGAGCGACCCATTCTTTCACCAATGTTTGTAGAAGCAGTCTGCATGCCTAGGGGCTTAATTGTATACACCTGTGTCCATGGAGGGGATTGGAACACCTGAATCACATGATATGGAGGGGATTGAAACACCTGAATCACATGATATGGAGGGGATTGGAACGCCTGAATCACATGATATGGAGGGGATTGGAACGCCTGAATCACATGATATGGAGGGGATTGGAACGCCTGAATCACATGATATGGAGGGGATTGGAACGCCTGAATCACATGATATGGAGGGGATTGGAGCACCTGAATCACATGATATGGAGGGGATTGGAACACCTGAATCACATGATATTGAGTGGATTGGAACACCAGAATCACATGATATGGAGGGGATTGGAACACCTGAATCACATGATATGGAGGGGATTGGAACACCTGAATCACATGATTGGGAGGGGATTGGAGCACCTGAATCACATGATATGGAGTGGATTGGAACACCTGAATCACATGATATGGAGGGGATTGGCACACCTGAATCACATGATTGGGAGGGCGGGGCTAATACTTTTGGCCATATAGTGTGTATGGATTTACAGTGTCTTGTAGTTCTAGAAGCTGACATTTATAACCAAAATGTTGTTTTGCAGAAATTTAGCCGTCGGCATTGGAATCCAGAACTTTCCAGAGGGCCTGGCGGTCAGCCTTCCACTGAGAGGAGCCGGCGTGTCCACATGGAGGGCGTTTTGGTAAGTAGCTGTATTGTAATCCACACCCAATGCTGCTGCGATGGTTTATAATCCATCAGCGGCCTGTCGGTACGAGATTGTCGCAGATTACATCCTTCGTCTGAAGGAAGGACGGCTCATTGGCCGCAGAAACCAATCGTATTCTTCCCTTCATATTAATTACCGCCCCTCCAAAATGTGCCACCGGGGTTCCTCTCCTTTCCCCAACGTCTCCTCTTCACTTGGCCTTCCAAAAGCCACTTGATTTCCTAGAAGGTTGCCACGGGTGAAATACATTCCATGTCATTGCCGACCTCCTTCCAGAAAATGCTACTTGCCTGGCTGCCATGCAGATTCAACATCTGTGAAGTCATTGCGCTTTTTTGTTTTTTTTTAATATGGTCGACCAACAGAATCACACGACCAACAGGCAGGTCTCCAGGAGGAGGTCGGTAGAGGCTTTCCATATATAATTCATGGCAAATCCTTTCACGTGGGCCATCAGGGGGGTAAGAAAAACTTATTGGAGTTAACTTATTAGTTATTGGAGTTACTGTTACTTTTCTATAATCTCCAACCAGTCTGCCCATTCGCCTCTGACCTCAAAAAGGCATTTTCCTCCACACAACTGCCACTCACTGGATATTTTCTCCTTTTCGGACCATTCTCTGTAAACCTTAGAGATGGTTGTGCGCGAAAAATCCCAGGAGATCAGCAGTTTTTTTTAAATACTCAGACCAGCCTGTCTGGCACCAGCATCCATGCCACGTTCAAAGTCACTTAAATCCCCTTTCTTCCCCATTCTGTTTGAACTTCAGCAAGTCGTCTTCACCATGTCTTGGTGCCTTGTGATTGGCTGTTTAGCAATTTATGTTACCAAGCCATTGGACAGGTGGACCCAATAAAGTGGCCAGTGAGCGTATGTATTACATCTGTCATCAGAAATTCCTTTCTCGTCTCTCTAGGTATGGCCAGCTGAGCGGAATGGTTGAGCCCATTGCCGGAGTCTTGGGAGCATTTGCCATTGCACTGGCAGAGCCGGTCCTACCCTATGCATTGGCGTTTGCAGCGGGTGCCATGGTCTACGTGGTGATGGATGACATCATCCCAGAAGCTCAGACTGGGTAAGCTGGATATTCAGAGGCCCTTTAGGGCCCGGTATTGAACGGCCTGGGCTTGGGTGCCTTTGTTAGGCAGACTGTTCTTCTCTGTGTGCCCCTCTGAAACTGGTTTCACTAAAGGCGTGTGTAACGGAACCGGACCCGGACTGCACTAGGGTATTTCCGTTAGACTCCCGCTTCCCTGTCCGAACACAGATCCCCGGACCCCACCGCTGACCATACAAGACGAGACGGCACCAGACTTGAAGGAAACCAGGAGATAGACTGCTTTATTTTAACACAGATACAAGATATATACACGGGGCGGGGCAATACATTTAGTAACAAGAGACACACAGCAGACACCCCCCACCAAGCCAATACACATACATCCCATAATAGTTTGCTCCCAAGCAAGACACACATAACAACAATGGGACAACCACAAGGCATTAAACAATGAACAACCCCCACCTAGACATGTCTACACAATAGCAGGACATTCCATCCTGCACCCCTAACAGGCACAGGGTGACTTACACATAGGAGGGATATGGGGAGCTGAGACAGGGGTCTCCTGTGTTCCATGGGCCCCCCACCCAAAGTGACTCCCGTCACAGATTGGCTTTCCATACTGGGACTGAGCCCACCTCCCGTGTCCAATTGATGGCATGAATAGTCTCAATGGACGGGAGATAGAGGAGGAGCAGATATAACTGAAATTAGTTTCAGAGGGGTGCAGAAGCACAGGGATTGGTGCCTACTGAAGATGATGGCAGGGACCTCATTATGGGTGTTCATCCTTTAAATATCCTTCAATTTTATTGTTGGGGTCTGCTTTAGGGCCACACTTATATAAAGTGGTAATAAAGGTTCGGCTTTAAAAATAACAAACATGTCACACTTACCTACTCTGTGTAATGGTTTTGCACAGAGCAGCCCAGATCCACCTCTTCTCAGGTCCCCCACTGTCCCCTGTGGCTCCTCCCCCTTGAGGTCCCCCTCCCCCTTGAGTGGCACTGTCCCCAGTGCCACTCAATAGCAAGCTGCTTCCTATGGGGGCACTGGTGCGTGCTCACTCTCGAGCCCGGCTCTGTGCATCCATAATACACATAAGAGCTGCAGCTTGGCCCCACCCCCTGCTCTCTCCTCATTGGCTCACTTGCTGTGATTTGACAGTATGGTGGGCGGTGTTTGTGATTGGACAGTAAGGTGGGCAAGGTCTGTGAATGGACGGTATGGTAGGCGGTGTTTGTGATTGAACAGTATGGCGGTGTTTGTGATTGGATGGTAAGGTGGGCAAGGTCTGTGAATGGACGGTACGGTGGATGGTGTTTGTGATTGGACGGTATGGTGGGTAAAGTATGTGAATGGACGGTATGATGGGCTGTGTTTGTGATTGGACGGTATGATGGGCTGTGTTTGTGATTGGACGGTATGATGGGCAAGGTCTGTGATTGGACGGTATGGTAGGCGGTGTTTGTGATTGGACGGTATGGTAGGCGGTGTTTGTGATTGGACGGTATGGTAGGCGGTGTTTGTGATTGGACGGTATGGTGGGTAGGTCTGTGACTGGACGGTATGGTGGGCGGTGTTTGTGATTGGACAGTGTGGTGGGTAAGGTCTGTGATTGGATGGTATGGTGGGTATGGTCTGTGATTGGACGGTGTGGTGGGCGGTGTAAGTGATTGGAATGGTATTGTGTGCAATGTTTGTGAAACAATGTGCTTTACAACCCATGACCTAACTGTCACTTTTTTTCCCCTCTTGTATGTCAGTGGTAACGGCAAGCTGGCGTCCTGGACGTGTATCCTGGGCTTTGTGGTCATGATGTCACTGGACGTTGGTTTAGGATAACGACGGTCACCGCAGCGCGAATACTGAACCCACAATAGGAAGAGGCGCTGGGCGCTACAACCGCAGTTTACAAACAAATTTGCCTTTTATGAATGATTGATTAGTTGTGTATTTATATCTGATGTTTTCTGAGTGTTAATATGGGGGGGGGGGGATTGATCAGAGGGTCATGTGTATCTGTAGAGAAGATTGATTAGGTGGAGGCAGGAAGTCTCATGTATGATAAATGTCGGGGAAAAAAGTATTTTGTCTTTTGTAGGAACTGGTCAGATGCTTCCATACATTCCAAGAAGGGCTCATTCACCTGTATGGGGGCTCATTTACCTGTATGAGGGCTCATTCACCTGTATGGGGGCTCATTCACCTGTATGAGGGCTCATTCACCTGTATGAGGGGCTCATTCACACATATAGGGGTGTGGTTCTGTTCTGTAAAAACTGAAATCAAATCAGCTGGACACTTGATTTTCAGTGGTTGGGGCAGATCTGCGTCATCTTTGGCAGTGAGGTTGTTTTTTTTTTTTTTGGGGGGGGGGGGGGGTTGAAAAGCACTGCATGCAATAGTTTTGGGTTGCACTCTTGCAAATGAGCCTGTTGGCATAAAATGCACACCGTTCCAGAAATCTGCAACAAAGGACATTCCCACGTCTGTCTGTCCCATTTAATCACTTGAAAAAAAAAAAAATGCATTCAAGTCTAGAAAACAACGCATGTCAAACCCGTGGCATCACCCTTAAAACTGAACTATAAATTGTTTGTGTGAGCCAAGCTGGCCGTAAGAACAGTTTCCTTTAATAGTTGATGCTGATGCTGCTATCAGCTGTGTGCGACTCTTCTGTCTGCTGCTGGAACAGAACTAATTTGGGCTGAGCTCAACCACTCACAGGAGGTTTGTATTTTATATCAATAAAGACTTCCTCTGATTGACCAAGGTGGAGAGATGGACAGGTAACGTCACAATCTCCATGCTGTCCAATCAGAGGAAGCTTTATATTCATTGATAGAAATATAAGGCTTCCTGTGAATTGCTGAGAAGCACTCAGCCTCGCTCAGTTTTATTCTGGGGGGGAGTTTCCATATTGCTGATGCTACATACAGTTTATACATTGGGTGCAGGGAATAGTTCTTTCTGGCCAGCTTGGTCCAGGTTTTGGCCAGTTTGGTCAGGTTTTGGCTAGCTTGGACCAGGTTTTGGCCAGTTTGGTCAGGTTTTGGCCAGTGTGGTCAGGTTTTGGCCAGCTTGGCACAAACAAACTACTTTTACTACAAAAAAAAAAAAAAACCTGGAGTTCAGCTTTAAAGTTCATTATAAAACCATTTTTTTTTTTAAGTTCACAAATCTGAATGGGCCCCAACCTGCACTGAGAGAAATGATAGCCAAGAGCTGGGTTGGGGATAATGAGCAGCAGTGTGTGTGTGATCCGGAGTTCCCTGGAGAGGGTCAGATAAAGAATTGAAAAGGTTTTTTTAAAATGGAATTAAAGCCCAAATAAACTTTCCGTTTAAATCGTGAATTACATTCCAGGCGCATCAAAACAAAAGGGGTGCAAAGTCTTAGGGGGTCCCATGCACACAGTCTGTGCGTTGCGGTGTCATGCATTTGGATGGAACCCCAGCACAGTAAGGCATCTGTACTGTACCACAGGGGACATGAGTGTGTTAGAGTGCAATACAAAAAGGGGTCATGTCTGATTTTTGGCACATTGGGGTGCATTGGCAGCCTATTCCTTTCGACGGGCCGCCTTGAAGCAACTCATCACAGACATGTACAGTAAATAGGCTCTTATGGGGGTTTTTTTCTTTACAAAGTAGCCACAGCCTGAGTAGAAAAGCCTGTCCATTGCCAGCATTCTGCAGCGTAGGATCCTTGGTCTCTGTTTGAAAGCAGTGGCCTCTATGCAGGGGT